TACTGCAGATCAATGTGACAAATAAATTAACATGTAAAAATACCTGCCACGTAGTAAGTGCTCATTAAGTGGGAAACATGAAGAGTCAGGAATAACAATAACTAGAGAGCGAGAGGAGAAAAAATAGTATTTGTAGGCCAAGGTCACATCCATACATTTATGTCTAACCTTTAGCTGGGCTCTATGGACATAAAGAAGACTCTGAGGAGCCAGAAGCCTAAGGGATCAGGCATTCCTGAAGAAAAATAATCCCAATGAAATGACCCAGTTGCTATGATGCAATTATAGACAGATTGTTCAGGGTCAGAGGCAAAGGCTTTTAAGGGGAGGAGACTTCAAGAGTTGGCCAGGTGGGAAAGGGATGAGTAGACCCGTGTCCCCTTCACCACTGTAGGTTAGCAAAAGGATATGAGGTACCCCACTGTGGGGAAACTGAAGAGAGCCAACCCAGCACAGACAGAAGCAGATGTCAAAAGAGCAGTTGTGGATTGATTATTGGCAGCCAGGATGGGCAGTGAAGCTGGCACAGGAGATGGAGGCTAGGGCCTGCCTCCTCAGCCTTCCAATAGGTATGGGCTCCTCCTCTCTCCCCTTGTTCCTAGCTCCTCTCTACCCCTAAGCCTCGGAGATCTTATCCTTTTCCCTCCCATCAGCCCTCTTTTGGGGAACAGACCGATGATCTGTGGGCAGAGCGTGACACCTCCATCAGGCCTCCCTCTGGTGATTCATTCCCAAGACTGGAGGTGGCAGGAAGTGCCAGAGCCCCAGAGTTGCAGCCCCATCCGGATTCTGGCAGCTTAGAAACATCCTATCTTTTTCCCTCCTCCCCCCACCCCCGCCACCTCCCCCACTTCCAGTTTTGACTCTTGACATTTCTGCATAAGAAACACCCACCTCCCCCAAAACTCTTCTTGCCTTTCTATGGTCTCTTAGGGTCCCTCAACTCCAGCCCCCTTGGGGCTGCTAGGTTCTTAAGATAAACAGGCACAACCCAGACTTAGGGACCCTTTCCTGGGGTAGGTAGCCAGGCAAGGTTTGTATCCCCATGGCCAGGCCTTTGAGGAACAGGGCCAATGATGTAGAAAGCATTCTCAGCAACACTTGAAACAACAACGAAATTATTTCACTACATGCTAAGTGCTTCATAAGCTTTGTTTCATTTATTCCTCACAATGACTAGATGAAAAGATGCTATTATCACTGCTATTTGGCAAATGAGAAAAGTAAGAGAGAAATAATTTGGAAAGCAGCAGAATGGGAGTTTAACCCAAGACTCATATATTGGGATCTGAAGCATTAGGCTCTTCTGCCTGCCTGTTTTGGGATAGAAGACAGTGTAGGAAAAAAGAAGAAGAAGAAGAAGAAGAAGAAGAAGAAGAAGAAGAAGAAGAAGAAGAAGACGACAGTGTAGGTCTTTCTGAACACAGCCTTCGGGGCATCTAGGGCAGCACATGCATCCCTGAGGCTCTCCATACAGCTGCCCTGAGGTCTGCTGGGGCTGAAGGCTTTGACCCTAGCTTCCCTCCTAGCTCTACCCATGGTTCTTCAACCCACCCCACTCTTTACTCCTGAGTGGTGAGAATGTGGTGGGCCATTCAGGATTCTCATCCCTCTCGAGAGCTTAACTTCCTATTAAACTCCTAGGGCAAACATCAATGTGATCCTGGGGTGCCCAGGGGGTACCTAGAAAGAGAGAAAAGAAGGAGCATTGCTTATAGATTCAGGAGGCAGAAGGAGATTACAGACATCCAAGCGTGGGGTCAGCCTAGGCTTGCAGACAGAGCAGGCATCTGTCACACAGAAGAGGCACAGAGATGGCCCACATGACAATAGAAATAATAATACCCTTGAATTATGTAGCACTTTAAAATTTCTCAGGCACTTTACAAACATTTGATTCTCTAGATGACCTCCTAGGTCCCAAGGAGGAAGAAAGCATCTTTTACAAGCTGTAATCACCTGTCAAGCTTTCCCCTAGAGGGGAAAGGCAGAAGACAGGCAAGGCAGTGAGGGAGTTAACCAAACCTAAGCTCCAGTGGGTAATTGATAGTTTTTATGGTGTCTTTATCCTCAGACTCCTCAGATATCATATTTCCACTGGATTACCACATTTACATAACAGTGCAGGGTGAGAGACCCTGATAAATCTTCTCTGCATGGGAATGAATACAGTGGAAATGTACTTTGTTGACAGCAATTTGTTTTACTACACTACTGCCCTTCAATTTAGGGAGGAAAGAGCAAGGCTATTGCCTTATGAAGGGAGGGTGGAAAGGAGAGAAAGGAGAAAGGGAGGGAGGAACATGAGGGATCTGGAAAGGGAGGGATGAATGAGAGAGGAAGACACAGGGAGAAAGGGAGAGTTTTAGGCAGAGTGGAAGAAGGAAGGACAGAAGAAAGGATGAGAGGGAGGGAGGATGGATGGATAACAGCAAGGAGAACTCACTCTATGCCAGGCACTGTGCTAAGCGCTTCCATGGATTAATTCTGCTAATCTTCATAGCAACCCAGTGAGGACAGTCCTGTTAGTGTTGCCATTGCACAGACAACACCCCATTCTGTTACACCCATTTTACTTTCTTCGTAGCATTTGCCATTATCTACAACGGACTTATTAACTCGCTTGCATGCTTATTGCCTTGTTCACAGCTATCGCCCCAGCACTTTGAGCAGTTTCTGACCTGAAGCAGGTTCTTAGTAAGAATACTTGTATAAAAAAAAAAAAAAGAATACTTGTAGAAGGCGCGATGGGGTGAGAAGCTCCTGGGGAGTGAGCCCCAGCCCACCTCCCACGCAGAGTGATGTGATGGGGAGGGTGGACAGAGGTGGGGGGGCAGGTGCTGGAGGTGCTCACTCGCTCTCCACCAACAGAGGGAATGTTACCAGCTGGTGTGTGTCTAGTGAGGAAGAAACCCATTATCTCCTCCATCCTTTTCAGCTGTTTTCTTTTTTTTTATTTTTCACTTATTTTTTAAATTTTTTATTTATTCATAATAGAGAGAGAGGGGCAGAGACACAGCCAGAGGGAGAAGCAGGCTCCATGCCGGGAGCCCGACATGGGACTCAATCCCAGGGCTCCAGGATCGCGCCCTGGGCGCCAAACCGCTGAGCCACCCCGGGATCCCCTATTTTTCACTTTCATCAGATCTTGCGCCCTTCCTGTCCCACGATCAGTTCGGCATCTACTAATCCTATCCTCAAGTTCTGCTTCACTCTCATTCTTGTTCTTTTTTGCTTCCTTGCTTGCTGATCTTTACCATGCCTCTCTTGAGAGAGAGCTCATCCAACGAAATTGCAATTGGTGATTTCAGAGGCCAACTTCCATTGCTGAAAGTCCAGTCTTGTACCAAAACCTTCCCCCTGCAGAGGGCATTTTTCTCCCCCTATAAAATAGAGGGTTTTTTATGGGTTTTTTGAACCAGCGCTGGTGGGCCTATGAGGGAGGAGGTCTCAGAACCATAGCACTGACCTTCCCACATCCTTATCTAGAGAAGCCTTGCCAAAGCCTTGAGACCACAGGAATCCAATACCCAACAGAGAGCTATTTCCTCTCCCACGGTATGTGTTATTTAATGTAACTTGCAGTAAATATAAATCAGAGGATAATAAGCCTTGCTTTGCCTCTCTCAGGGTTTTGAAAACTCCTCAATCCATGGCATAGCAGCATCTTCTGAAGGTATAAATGGCAAGACTGTGGGGGTAGGTGTAGGAAGACTATGCTTCCCAAGGGCGGGCAGTGTATCAGAGTGGCTGGGAATGTGGGCCTCAAGATTCAGACAGCTTTGAGTTTGGAGTCTGGCCTCTGTATGAATAGAGTATTGGTGGCAAGGGTGGAAGTTGAGTATCAAATGAGTCCTTTGGTACTTTCCCTGAATCAGGCATTCCTTCTAGGCCCACCAGAGTTTCCTGTCCCAAATCAGTTGTAGCACTTGGCCAGTCGAGTTGGGATTATTTCTTGCAGCAATGTCCACCCCACCAGACTCTGAGCTCCCCAAAGTCAAGAACTCAGTTTTTCCTTTGTATCCTTAGGGCCAAGCCACATGCTGGACATAAAGAACCTAAGCTCCAGTGGGTAATTCAGTTTCTTCCAGACAGTGGAAGGTACTCATTTTCTTCCTCAAGGGACTGCTATTCCTTGAGACTTTGATATGCTTAGCACCTACTCTATGCCAGGCCTGCCAGCTATGTTATCTTCTCTAATCCTTGTAATGGACCTTGAGTTAGGGATTGAGGCAATAAACATTATCTCTCTCCTGTTTTATGGGAAGAGCCTCTTTCTGGAAGAACACAGAGTTCTTTCTCCTCTGATACCCAACTTCTGCTCTTCCTATCTACAGTGTATGCACACAGCAACCAGAATGAGACTTTTAGAATCATGTCACTGTTCTGCTTAGAACCCTTCAAAGGCTTCCCATTTCACTCAGCATAAAATCCAAATCCTTACTATGACCCGCAAAGCCCTACATTACCTACCTAACCCCCAGCCCTCAAACTTAATGACCTCATGCCTCACCACTCTTCCCCTTGCTGTCTCTAGTAAGCCACATGGGCTTCTTGACATACTCCTTAAACACTGCTGTGCACATTGCTGCCTCAGGCCCTTTCTGGCTGTCCCCTTGTGTCTAGAAAGCTTTCTCTTAATCTCTCTGTGGCTCGTTCCCTTGCTTAATACAAGTTTTGTTCAAATGTCACTGTATCAAGGAGGTCTTCCTTGACTCCCCTGTGGTGATTTTGAAATATGCCCACAAAATCTCTGATACTTCTCCTTTCAAGAGGTAGAACCCAATCCCCCCACCCCCTTGAATGTTGGGTTTACTTAGTGTCTACTTCCTAAATAAAAGAATACAAAGTAACAGTGTGTGACTTCAAAGACAAGGTCATAAAAGGCTTTATGGTTGCCTTAATCTGGCAATGAGAAAACATCAGGCAAACGCAAATTAAGGGACATTCTACATAATACCTGATCAGTATTCTTCAAAATTGTCAAGACTATAAAAACAGTGCTTGCTTTGGCAGCACATATACTAAAGTTGGAATGATACAGAGAAGATTAGCATGGCCTTTGTGCAAGAAGGACATGCACATTCATGAAGGGTTCCATGTTTTTACCATCAGCGAAATACAAATCAAAACTACAATAAAATAGGGCATCCCTGATGGCTCAGTGGTTTAGCGCTGCCTTCGGCACAGGGCGTGATCCTGGAGACCCGGGATCGAGTCCCACGTCAGGCTTCCTGCTTGGAGCCTGGTTCTCCCTCCACCTGTGTCTCTGCCTCTCTCTCTCTCTCTTTCTCTCTCTCTGTGCCTCTCATAAATAAATAAATAAAGTCTTTAAAAATAAAAAAAAACTACAATAAAATACACCTTATACCTATCAAAATGGCTAAAATCAACAACACAAGAAACAACAGGTGTTGGCAAGGATATGGAGAAAGGGGAACTCCTTTTCACTGTTGGTGGGAATGCAAATTGGTGCAGCTACTCTAGAAAACAAGATGGAGGTTCCTCAAAAAGTTAAAAACAGAATTATCCTAGGATCCAGCAATCTAATGACTGAGTATTTACCCAAAGAAAACAAAAACACCAATTCAAAGAGATATATACACCCCTATAGCAACATTATTTATAATAGCTAAATTATGGAAGCAGCCCAAGTGTCCATCAATTGATAAAGAGATAAACAAGATGTGGTGTAGGGACACCTGGGTGGCCCAGGGATTGAGTGTCTGCCTTTGGCTCAGGTCATGATCCCAAGGTCCTGGGATCGAGTCCCACATCCAGCTCCCAGTGGGGAGAGCCTGCTTCTCCCTCTGCCTATGTCTCTGCCTCTCTCTGTGTGTCTTTCATGAATAAATAAATAAAATCTTTTAAAAATATATGTATCACATTATATATATATGATGGAATATTACTCAGCCATAACAAAGAATGAAATCTTGCCATTTGCAACAAGGATGGAGCTAAAGAGTACAATGCTAGGTGAAATAAGTCCATCAAAAAGAAATATCATATGATTTTCTTCATATGTGGAATTTAAGGATCAAAACAAACAAGCAATGGGGGAAAAAAAGAGACACACAAACCAAAAAAAAAAACAAAAAACAAAACAGACTCTCTATTCTAGAGAACCAATTGATGGTTACCAGAGGAGAGGTGGGTGGGAGAATGGGTGGGGGGATGAGTGAAATAGGCCATGGGGGATTAAGGAGCATACCTGTGATGAACACTGGGGGATGTAGTATGGAATTGCTGAATCACTGTATTGTATACCTGAGACTAAGCATACATTGTATGTTAACTAACTGGAATTAAAATAAAAACTTAAAAAAAAAGATTATGAAAAAGAAAGAGTAGAAAATTATTGTTGATCACAGGAGACTAAAAGAAACATGATGACTAAACCACAATGTGATCTCCTGGACTGTATCCTGGAACAGAAAAGTCATTAATGGAAAAACTGGTGAAATCTGAATAGTGAAATCCGAATAAAGTCTGTAGTTTATTTAATAGTAATGTACCAACCTTAAATCTCTTGACTTTGAGAAATGTACCATGGTTATATAAGATATTAATGTCAGAGGAAGCTGAGTGCAGTATGTAAAAGAACTCTCTGTACTATCTTTGTAACTTGTCTATAAATCTAAAATTATTCCTAAATAAAAAGTTTTTTTTTTTAAAAAGGCATTGTGTCTTCCTCCTTGCTTTCTTTCTTAGATCATGCACATGCTGCCATGTCATGAAGATACTTAAACAGCCCTATGGGGAGGGCTACCCATATATGAGCGACTGAGATGTCCAGCCAACAGCTGGACATGTAAGTGAACCATCCAAGAAGAGAATCCTCCAGGCCCAGTCAAGGTTTCAGGCAACTGCAGTCCTGTCTAACATTTTGACCACAGCATCAAGAAAGACCATGAGTGAGCAGCCTGGGTGGCTCAGCGGTTTAGCACTGCCTTCCGCCCGGGGTGTGATCCTGAAAACCCGGAATCGAGTCCCATGTCGGGCTCCCTGCATGGGGCCTGCTTCTCCCTCTGCCTGTGTCTCTGTCTCTCTCTCTCTCTCTCTCTGTCTCTCATGAATAAATAAATAAAATCTTAAAAAAAAAAAAAAGACCATGAGTGGGACACCTGGGTGGCTCATTGGTTAAGTATCTGCCTTCGGCTCAGGGTATTACCCTGGGGTCTGGGATCGAGTTCCACATCGGGCTCCCCATAGGGAGCCTGTTTCTCCCTCTGCCAATGTCTCTGCATCTCTCTGTGTCTCTCATGAATAAATAAAATCTAAAAAAAAATTTTAAAAATGAAAGATCCTGAGCCAGAATGGCCCAGAATGGCCCAGTTAAGCCACTTCTGAATTCTTGACCCTCAGAAAATCTGAGATGATAATTTATTGCTGTTATAGGCCTCTGAGTTTTAGAGTGATTTGTTATGCAGCAGCAGGGAACTGATACATCTAGAGAGCATACATTTCAATAGGTAACTCTCTAAAACAGCCTCCTTCTAGGCACACTCACCGCCCCCCCTTTTCAACCTCAATTTTCTATTAGGTAAGACCACATGACACGTTTGTTTATTTAACTTCTGTCTCCACCCTAGAATGTGAGCTGCATGCAAGAGGAAACTGTTCAGTTTATGTCCCTTGCACCTCGAACTGTGCCTGACCCATAGGAAATGTTTGATAAGGGATAGTTGTAATTATTATTTTTTGGTAACAGGGGGTTAGGTAAAAAAAAAAAAATCCCTTCTCTATCCTCACCCAGAAAAATACAAAACAAAACAAAACCGAGCCCCTGGAGGATGGAGGCCAAAGTAGTTGAGGTTGAGGCAACATAGAACTGGGAAATACAAGCAGAGATGAGTCAGAAACTCTGAGATCTGATGGAGTTCTTCATTCACTGGGAGACCTCACACAAGTTTCTTCCCCCCTCTGGGTCTCTGTTTCCTAAAATATAAAATGCAAGACTGGGATGACCTGCAAGATCACCAAGATGTCTTCCAGCTCTAGTAGTCAGTGACTCTAACGGGGGCCTGGGAGGAGATGCAGGAGCTCAACTAGGAGATGGAGGCAAGGAGGATGAGCGAAGAATATACTCTATCCTCACGGGAACCAGGCAGAATCTGCCCACCTTCGTGCTGTGCTCACCTCCTGGAAACCCTTGTCCACCTGATAATCTATTCCTTTGCCAAGACCCAGCTCCCTGCCTCTGCGAAGCCCACAGGCTCCCATAACCCTCTACACAAGTCTTCATAATGCATTTTCCACACTGAATTATAACTGGACCTTTGGGGATGCCTGGGGGGCTCAGCGGTTCAGGGCCACCTTCAGCCCAGGGCATAATCCCGGAGTCCCAGGATCGAGTCCCACGTTGGGCTCCCTGCGCAGAGCCTGCTTCTGCCTCTGCCTGTGTCTCTGCCTCAATCTCTCTGTGTCTCACGAATAAATAAATAAAATCTTTAAAAAAAATAACTGGACGTTTGTATCCTGGGGTCTTAGTTCCTAAAAGGAGTTAGTCTCAGGTCAACATTCTCAGGCTTGCAATTCCCTCCGAGGGAATTTAGGCCCTAAAGGAAGAAAAGAAAGAGAAAACAGGAGGCGGTGGAAGATCAGGCATATGCTGGGACACCCTTAAACTTCTGCCCTTTCTCTCCTCTCCCCCAGTCTTGGCCTCACCACCAAGAGAAGCATGTACATCAGCCTGCGTGGCCCTCTGCCTCACCTAGGTACTAAGTCAAAAGCTATTTATTTGTGCCATATGAGCTTTCCCCTGCTCCTCCCTCCCTTGGTCCTCCACTCCTTTCCCACAATATATATACCCACAATATATATTCCCTTCCCAACCTTTGTTCCAGGTAGCTGACAGGTTCCTGATATGTGGTATGAAGATAGGTTTGAGGGGCATTTTTTCTCCACAACAGCTCATGGGAAGGCTTGAAGAACTTGCTCTGTTTTGGGAATCACAGGTGGTAGGATCACATTTAGTCTGTAAAGTGAGGTTGGGAGCATCAGGAAATGTAGCAGGACAGGTAGGCAGGAATCAACTTTGGTGGAGGATTTTGCCCCATGGGCCATGTAAACCCCTAAAGAATTCTGCACAGATTGGAACTCACTTGTCTTCCACTCAGCCCTTCCTACTTATATCCCTTCCTATCTCTCTCTGCCCCCACCACCTCCCCAAGAATTTTAAAAACACCAAGGATTTATTGAGAAGCTTCACTGTGTAAGTTTTCTGTTCAGATTACTTCATTTCCACCTTTCAGCACTGATGAGGTAGGTGTTACTGTCCTCATGTCAGGTAAGGAAGTGATTTGCCCTCTTGGAAACCAAGGAAGAAACAGAGCCCAATTTCTTAACCGTTACACTAATTGGTCCCTGCTCTCTACCTTTTTGCAACTCTCTTCTTTGGGGGAAATGTCTTCTTTGGGACAGATGTCTGTAAGGAAGTCTTTGAGGTCAGGAGGTAGAAGTGGGAACAGTGAGTGAAGAACATATTCTAGAATTGGGATTTTCAAGTTCTTTTTTTTTAAATTTTTATTTATTTATGATAGTCACACACAGAGAGAGAGAGAGAGAGAGAGAGAGGCAGAGACACAGGCAGAGGGAGAAGCAGGCTCCATGCACCGGGAGCCTGACGTGGGATTCGATCCCGGGTCTCCAGGATCGCGCCCTGGGCCAAAGGCAGGCGCTAAACTGCTGCGCCACCCAGGGATCCCCGGATTTTCAAGTTCTGATGAGACCCATCTCACTCAGCGTTGCTCCTCTCTCTGCTTGGCAGGAAGTGTTTCCCATTCTGCCCACTCCCTGTCTTGATCAACTTGCTTATTCCAGTTCCCACAACCCCCTTTACCTCCTTATATACCTCCTTGCCCTTGTCTTTCAGGATCTAGGTGATACATTTTTTTGAAAATGCCTGGATGGGGATCCCTGGGTGGCGCAGCGGTTTAGCGCCTGCCTTTGGCCCAGGGCGTGATCCTGGAGACCCGGGATCAAATCCCACGTCTGGCTCCAGGTGCATGGAGCCTGCTTCTCTCTCTGCCTGTGTCTCTGCCTCTCTCTCTCTGTCTCTCATGAATAAATAAAATCTTAAAAAAAAAAAAAGATTAAAAAAAA